TAGCTATAATTAGTTTAAGAAAAAAATCCGCTATGGAGGCGCTAAGTTAATTACATGAATCAATAACTGACGAAAAAGGTGTCAGCTTTGCCCGTGTTCGTATTACTGGTTTGTCGGGTTCCTTAGTCATTCCGTACTATTATCATTAATAAGATGCAGATTAAATAAAACACATACAACGATTTAAAACACGATATATTAAGTATTTAATTTTTACGAGTGATCCCATTAGCAGACTTGTTGTATATAAAGCAAAGTCTGATCGTAGTTAGGAAGTTCACGTTTAACACAGACAAAAACTGTGCCAAGGAGATACGAATAATAAATTTTTTAACTCTTCTTTTAAAATCTATTGCCGATGTATAAAACAATCTGTGTTAGTCTATATGACGTATTTTAAACGCAAAAGTTTATATACGGAACCGTTAATCTCGAAACCTGCTCACACATTTCTATCCGCATTTGGTATGCACCAAGATTTTGTTAACAGGCTTGACAAGAACTACGTACGTCATGACTTTAATTATTTAATATGTCGGTATGTAGTTTGCAATTAAAAGTTTTATAAGCTTAGAATATTACAAAAAGTGTAGTGGAGTGCAACTGTAGCAATGCAGAATTATGCTGAATTCCGTTACCCTCTGTGGGACGTGGAGCGAATAAAATTCTGTGTCCGTTCTTGGCCCTTGGTTTGGCTTGTTGTACCCGCCCCAACCGAAACAAATTAATTAGGTGAACTCTTGTTTATATTATTTTTACTTAAACCATATTTTTTCCCCTGTCGGGGTAAATTATATGATAATTCGTTTTTTAGCTTAAACATACAAATTAAAAGTGCTTTGCCATTTTGTGATTCGCGTTAAGTGGATATAGAATTAAAAATATATATAATAGATCTTTCTTGATAATAGAGCAGTTATTTATCTAAATCTATTTACAGAAATAATTTATGGGACAATATAACGAACTAATCATATTATTCTACAATAGTGTTATAGTATGTGTATTTTGTAAGATTTCTACTTTAAGTTTTAACACTATCACTGCATGAGATAAAAAAGTTGCGACTTTTTTATCATATGTATAAAGCGAATAAATCTATACTAAAATAGTAAAGCTGAAGAGTTTGTTTGAACGCGCTAATCTCGGGAACTACTGGTTCGAATTGAATTTTTTTTTTCTGTTCGTTAGAGTATTTATCTACGGAGGCTTTAGGCTTTTTTTAGACCCATGGGGGCGGAGAAACAGAGGATAACGGGAGAATTTGTTTATTTTTGAGAGTTTCCGCTGAGAAAACAATTTAAGGAACTAAAAAACGATGTATGATATGATGAATGATTCCTCTTTAAATGATCTCAAAAAAATATTCCGCGACAATATAGTCTATCTTTTAAGATTAATTCGCAAGAAATCGCGGTTCATAGCTGTAAAAGGTGTTTGCAAAAATAAATAATATGTCCAAAATAACTATTTAACGCGGACGAAGTCGCGCGCACATCTAGCGTTTCTTTATGCAACAAGAAGTCTAATAAGATCAAGAAGTTTACACTTGTATTGCTCACTAAGCCTTGAATAGAAGTTAGAGAATGTATTTAAAAACTTGTACGTTAGTATGTTGGACAACAACATCGAGGCCTGCGCATAACCAATGACCGAGATATTATTTACGATATTAATTTACATACTGAACTGTATGTTCAGCTGTACGATCGTGTGGTACAGATATTAACATGATATCATGCTTGTATCATAGAAGACAGTCAGTTCCTATTTTTGGGTTCCGTAAAAAAGGGTGATTTGAACTGGGCCCGTTCAGAGAAAAGTTAAGTAGATATGCCTTTGCAGCAGCCGTGGCCACGAGGAGAATCCGAATCGTTGGGCCGTAGTTAAAAATAATTTGTAAATAAGTTTAACGCATATTTCGCGTTTTAAACCGTGAAAGTGTTTTTTTACACTTGCTACTCGCATAAAGTACAGAAAAATGTGTCTTTTTGGGTTAAGTAATTGCATAAAACTGTTTAAAATGTTAAAATGGTCACTTACGACGTTTCGGATGCATTTCAGCAACAAATCAGGGGAACCATGACCGCAGCTAATTATATGTTTCATGTCTAAAACCGTTAAAAGTGTTTTAATTATCGAAGCTAGTTGTTATTAAATCAATAATACTCCGGAGGTAGAAGCTACAGATGTACTTATTGATTGCTTAATTAATTATTGAGATAATAAAATCTTTTAAAATGTTTAATCCTTCCGTTGACTGATGTCGATTTCCCGATAAATTATTCGATAATGCTGCCACTAGTTTTTTTTTTTCAGGTAGCATTTTATATTAGTACACCTAGGTATGCACTGATTGCGATAAAAATAAAACACAAGTTGTGTCAAATATATCGCTTTTCAAAATCTCTAGAGATAATCTCTTGCGCCGGTCTTAATTGAATGTTTATTATAGGATAACACTTTGCAGTGATAAAACGTATGTTTCTAATTATGTTCCAATGGTATCATTGTTTAGGTAGAGAATGTGTCATTTCTAGAGAAGGCCCGAATTTGGCACAAGAATAGTTGATTATTTATTTTATAAAAATAAAATCGGTCGAAATTTGATTATGGTTTAAGTCGTAATTGGTGAAACATAAAATAACTACTGTCTGTACTTTACGCGAGTAGTAACTACGGCCCCACATTTCGGATGCTTTGCTGCATTATTTTTTATATATTATACATTGCGTTTTAAACCGTTGCAGTGTTTTATAAGAGATAAGACAATGACATGAAAGCGATCAACAACAGAAGGTTTGGTTGAGTTAAAAACACACAGTGAGACTTGTGTAAGCCAAAGTCCTTCACATGGAAGAAATGGGAAAATGGGTCAAAAGCTTAGCAGGTAGTATATAATCAATAAATTGAAACAATTTTCGGCTGGGGCAAGGACTTGAACCGGCATCGTCAGCGTTCCGTGCTGTTGCGTAAGCTTGGGGCAGTCATCCTAAACAAACACACACAAACGCTGACTGGTTCTCCACATATTTTACTGTGTTCTAGTATATTATTGTCTTATTGTATGCAGAATGAACGATTCGATTTGAATACATGAAACACCAATAAGCGAATTCCGCTGCCTGCCGGCTACCTACAGACGCGTTATCATACCAATGCTAATTACAAATGAAATGATTGCCGCCACTACACCGCTCGTGAAAATCGATAATGTTCGGTCTGATAAGGGACCGTGTTCATAGCTTGCCGACAAATAGATAATCTACAACATCCATATCAAATAAAACCCGTGTTCTTTAACCTTTACATGTCACCGCTATCGGTATTTCTTTTCCTTAAACCCTCGAGTGACGATAACGATGACTGAAGAATAGATGGGTTAGGAATAAACATAAACACACACACGTCCACATAGAAAACATAGAATTCCTCGATTCTTGCTATACAACTTCTATAGTTTATTTGAAATGGATAACACTTTATTTTAATGAACGCTGCAGCAGCCGTGGTCACGGGGGGCTGCTGTGACCACGTGTGTAAAGCATCCTCCACGTAGTTAAAATAAATTATAAATAAGTTAACTAAATATACTTCGCGTGTCAATCTTAAATATATTAAAGTATTTATTACATAGATTGTAAAGTATTTAAGGGTCGTAAATTCAATTACCATCAACCGTTTTTAACTAATTTGATCGTTTTTTAATACCGTCATCGTGTTTTATTTGAATACTAAATGGTGGAATATTGAAAACTCTTTCTGGGTTTTAAGATAATTCCATTTAAAATGTCCAGAGTCAAAATAGGTCAGCGCATCACGTTTGTATTTTGTTGTAGTTGTATGGCTTGTCTATCCTCATCTATCATAAAAACAAAATACAGTTACATTAACTGAAACACAGTAATCGAATTTAAGATAACGCTTTTTGAATTCGGAAAACAGATGGAACGCCAACGGTCATTCACGTTTCAGTAGCGTCCGACGAAAAATCCCCGAAATTTACTGCGCCAAAGACCGGAGTGTTTTTTTTTTAGCTTTCCATGTGTTCACTGTATCTGAGCAACGTTCCGAACGAACGGTCGATGGGGGGCGTTTAAAAATTAATTATGCCCGCTCTAAACAGCGATCTTCGCCGGGGAATTTGCTATGAATTTTAGATAAGTCTATTGGCGATGGACGTGCAATAGAGGCACTGTTCAATGCATTTGCGAGGCACAGACAAGCATTTAGTGTTTCTATTTTGATAAATTAAAAATCTATTTAGATTTTTTTTAAATACGATACGGGCGGATAGGGTTTGATAGAATCGTTAACTATAATCATGATGTTGTGTCGAAAAAGGGGGAAGCCGAATTTCAAGTCCTCCCCAAAATTAGAAAGTTTTGGACTAAATTATTGATTTAAAGCAACAACGGAATTAACTAATGTTAACATAACTAATGTAACGTTACAATGTACGAATGTTAAGAAATAAGGATAAACTAGCTATCCTATATATAGGCTTCATAAAATTAACAAATTAATTTGAGGGGAATTGTATTCGTATGTATAATACAAGTTGAGGTTGCAAAAAAAAAGTAAAAAAACAGTCATGAAATTTAGATTGTCTCAAAAGGCGTATTATTGTTTGAACGATTTCTTTAATGACAAGACCACCTAGCAGTAATATGAATTGCTCCCTAGGTTAATCAACTCACAAAAATGTATTACTTTATAAGAAATGTTTAAAAAAGCAGGACTGAGTTTCTTGGTTGTCTTCTCGGTCATGTTGCTCTTTGGAACATTGTGTAGAATCACGACAGACAGACTGATAAAGATTTTTTGACGAATCTAAATACATTTTAAAATATTAAAGAGAATAAAGTATCTTATTTTATTTATTAACGTACGTACATGAATCCATAATTATCCACACGTACATTAATTCGACAAATAAAACAGCATGTTACAATTTAAATGAAATGTGCTTTTGTGTAACATGAAAGTTAATAACTTACCCATTAAAAGGATAGCCGGCGAACGCTGCATCGTAAGGATGATAAACTGTAGGGTACGGCCAACTTGCTGCACTGGCTGCCAAATTTTCTTTCAGCTCGATTCCAGCAGCCTGTTGAATATAACATTACTTATTTAATGGCGCTTGTCTGAAAATATGCAGGGATAGGATTAAAATTGCGTGGGAAGATTTTGGTTATGTATATAGTTTGGTAGCTGTAATGTTATATAGGTATATTACATGTAATATTTTCAGCGTATCTACCTATATCATTAGACAACTTGTGACCTCGTTGGATAATTTTAAATAATTGGGGCATTCTCTATCTGTTTCACTGATCGATTTTATTTAATAGCACGACACAAAGTCTACGCTGGGCCCGATCGAAATAATTTCTTAGTTACTAAGTTTTAGCGGTTTATTTTAAATACGTAATTTACTTCTTATTAACGTGGTATCTTTACTTGCAGTTTCAATTACTAAACATTTTCAAATCTCTTCGACTAATGAAAGCAGAGTTAAATTCTTTCTTAAAGTAACTATGCCCTGTGCTATTAGAGTTTAAACGAAAATTAAACACAATCAAATAATTTGCTACATATGTAAACAAACGTTACTTACAATCATAATATATATCTTTATGAATATTAGTTATGCTGAGAAAAATCATATTATTGTAGTAAATATGATTATCCAATTCAGTATTGCCAGCATAACATTCTTTTCTAAGTGAAAGCATACGGTAACGCATGTATCTTACACATTATTAGTATACCTTAAATAAATTATTCAGTTTTATTAGTCTTAGATAGTTTCCCATCGGTGGGACTACTACAAAACCCTATTATCGTAGGTAACATACATCGATATATCTTAGCTCTAAAACATTAGATTTCTTCACGATGTTTTTATCACCGGAGAGTAAAGATATAAATTTTTATGCACTACCCAGGATCGAATTCACAACTTTAAAAGTGTCAGTCAGGATACTAAACTACTCACAGTCAAATATGTAAATTAAAAGTATGAGTTAGAATGATGATTTATGGTTTTAAACGCATATATGAACGCCTGCCACTGTATAGTTAATTTATAATAAGTTTTATAATATTAAAATATACTTAAATATTATTTTTAAATAAAACAAGTAATATATAAGTAGGTCACACCATGTAGTGACCACGAGTACTGCAAAGCAAGAGGAACGTCGGGTCGTAAATAGAATAAACAAAATTAGGTTAAACACTGAGAGGGTATCAATAAGTTGTAAAAAATTAATGATGACGTCTAGGCTTCTCAATTGATTTGAGCAAAGGAAGTGGTCCGGCTCGTTGCCCGAGCAAATTTTTTAATTTAGAAAAAAGTAAATTAATATGTTCCGTGTTTAAACGTAAAGATTTAATTAAGTGTTGGGGTGTGAAATGTAGGCCGATACCCGTACCATAAAATTACATTAAAATCGGTTCAGCTGTTTAGGAGTTATGTTGCAAGTGCTGTAACGATAAACAAGGTGCGCACACACAGGAGCGTTAATCCATTACAGAAATGGATCTCATAGGATTGATTTTTGATCGATCACTCGGCTGCTTCTTAACTATTATTATTTAATGGGTAAGATACGCGCCGTGCATCAATCATCTTGGAATAGACAAATGTATCTTTAAAAGGGGAATTGGTAGCCCTCGTTGGTCGTGACCCCGAGTTGATATAATATTTAGATAATTAATGTGTACACGAACTAATGTTGACGCGTTGCGTTCAATGTGAAAGTAACACAAATATCGCAAACATATCTTATTTTTATGGGAGGAGAAATAAGGTGAAATACCGTCGTTTAATCCAGATGTGCAGAGTGAATTAGATTGTTTAGTATAATTTACGTTATAAAAGTTATAAGGCGTGAGCAAAATTATTGTAATATATAAATACCTGCTCGTACCACTACGGTAGATACCAATAGGGTCATATACTGTACTATAATACAAATATAGTAGTAGGTACGATATTACGGTGTACTATACAATGTAGCAGAACAGAACAATACTATTATACAATATATTTTGAAAACGGTGGTAACCCTAATTACTACCACCAATGATAATTCATTTTTGCCACCTTTTTATTCTGATTTCCATATTTCCATGTCACGTAATGAAAACTCTTTTCAATGCCACGTGTCATTAAAAAAATATGAACCTCCAATCTAGGTACGAGTACGTTCGTCGTTGTCAAAAAAAATTCGCAACAGTTCCGCCGCGTATTCAATCATCAATAGGATCGAGGGATCCGAAATTTATGGCGACGCATTAAAAATAACTCGGGAGGCGACTCTTAATGCGGTCAGCCAGGATAAATCTATCAAAAGACTCTGTTGGCCAACATCTTCATTGGTGGCCGAAACGTAAATCCGATAATAAATTCTACTCAAGCAGGACAGAGTAATCCAAACGCAGTTCTTTGTTGTATCGAGCACTTTGGTATAATTCCAGTTCCCTGTTAAATAATCGGCATTGGCCCTGACGCGAATCTGCTGTACCTTGATTTATTAACGTGATATTATTCAAGTATTCACTGTAGTTTACACGAGCACACTTTTAACGGTTTTAAACGCGAAATATATAAGCTAACATCGTAACGTATCAAATCTAAATCTAATCTAAAAATATATTTTTCGAAAAAGCTCTTCATTGTAATTCTTACATTAATATTTAATGCTACGTCCATAAAAGTTATAAAAACTCGACTCATTTGTAGTCGAAACAATAATTTTATAAACTCGATAGGGATCGCGGTAGTCAAGCGCAAAAGTAAACTCTAATCTTTATTAGTATAATTTTATTGGATTGTAATCTTTTACTTCTAGTAAAGCTATTTATTAGGTATTGAATAAAAATGTTGGAATCCTTCGATTACTATGATTACTCGAATTTTATTATTTTGAAAGTGTGGTAATTTAAGAATTGCTTCATTTGTACTAGAAAAGGAGATGGTTTAGTTCAAAGTACTATATGGTTATTTCACCAAGTTCATAGTGGACGTATGCCCTATGCTCCTCAAGGGGGTAACGGGATTTTTTACTGTTTTATAACAATGTTGATTTGATTTTTAGGGAAGTAACTCTTGTTAATACCGAATTAATTTTATTACATTTAAAAAACGTATGTAGTAAAATAAAATACAAGTCATAATTGATAAAATATATGAAGTAAGTAGTGTATATCCACCCTAAGCTTACAATGCAAGGAATATTACTACGCGATAAATGTGCTTATAATCCGTTGAATTATACTTTTAACACGCAAGTGGGGATCGGGAGTTGTGTCAAATTTGAATTACAGAACTTTTTATAGAACAAAGTGTGTGTAAGACTGCAAGTGAATTTTTAAAAATAGAACTAGATATTTAATATATTTTTAAATTAAAATGTAAAAATTAAGTATATGGCTTGAAACATTATTTTCTAAATGCCGTCTATAGTTTACGCGAGTAGTATACATTTAAATAAAACACTTTAACGGTTTAAAACGCGATATATTAGTTAAACTTATCTGAAAATGATTTTTAACGTCTCCCCGTGACGGCTGCTGCAAAGCATCCGAAACGTCGGACCGAAGTTAAAAATCATTTTTAAATAAATTTTACTAATATATCGCGTTTTAAACCGTTAAAGTGTTTTATTTAAACATTATTTTCTATTCTAATTTTAAACATGGATATACGAAAAGTTTTGAAATTGGAACTATGTTTATTTTTTTATTTTTCGAACAGTTTAAGGTGTGTTCTAATTGCGTGTGGGTGTTTTTAACATGAACGCATGTTATACAATATGGCGTGTTTGTGTTTATTAGCAAACATTTAATTCGTAAACTATTTTCATTGTCATCTGTATACTGTAACTCCAAATGCGTCTCATACTTTAAATATTTCGTCTATAAAACACCAGATACTAATTTATAACTCCTATAAAGATTATCTTTGAATTCGAAATCATAATATAATTTGAAACAAATTAGTCTAACTCATAAGAGGGCAATAAAAACGACTTGTGCTCTCTATGAAAATATCTGATGTGACGACTATTTTCGTCCGTTTCTTAGTAACGATAAATTACGATTTTTTCAATATGATTTATCCCGCTTCCGTTTGGGACATGTGTGACGACTGCATTGATCAACTAAAGAGCCTATAAATTTCGTTTTGAATAATAAAAATTGTTTGTTAATATTTACTAGGTAAGGTTTAGGTGTATTCTCGGTAATAACATAGCGTTTGCGTGAATTTATTGATATTATATTGGAACTAGATTTCAGTAAAACATAGAGTAGTCTTCGTAAAACATAGAGTTATGTTTTAGATATACAGTTTTCAGGCATAAAAATTCTGTTACTTTGATCAAGCATTTCTGAATATTAACTGACGAACAAATGAAATTATATTATATAAAGAAATGTTTAGCAAATGAAGAAAAAAGTATGATACTTACTTTACTATTTAAAAATCTAATTTGCCGAATGTCGAAGGAAAACCTCAAAAATTATACTAACTACTTGTATTCAACGTGAAGTTGTATATTTTGCCAACAAAAAATTTTGTAAGAAAAAATAAATCTTGTCTACAAGTATGTCATGCACGTTGTCATATTTTTACGCCAACAAAAAAATCCAAACGAAAAAATGTTAAATCTTACAAGTATCATAGAGAGTCGCAACACATCGGTAAAAAACACCTTAAGCCTCAGTCGAAATAAAATGTGTGAATGGAAAAAAAATGATCACCGCGTACGCTCGGACGTCTCAAGTTAACACTTTCGCCAGATGATAAATGATCATAACGTCATGAATGATTGAATCATCTGCCGGGACACGTTCTCAGCCCCACCTTTTAACACCTTCCTAAAGTTTTACCACACGTCATAATATGTATTACCTACGTGTTGTGGCTACTTTTATGTCGTGACACCTCCACCCACGGTGTCGCATGCGTCATATTTGTGACAATTACACGTTATCTTGTTTTTTTATATTTATATTAGGACAGAAAACTAACAATATAAATACGCAATTTTTACATATATTAAATTGCTAGATGGTAATGGTATTTCATTGGGTTTGGTTCGGTTTATCGATCCTATTGTGAAAAAGAACATACTTCAAAACGATATATTTTTTTTGTAAATACATAATTACGTATAATACCTCAAGAGAAAATCTAGCTAAATCAATTCTAATGGCTGGGTTGAAATCATAATTAAAATAGTTGCATCCAGTAAAAGTTGTTTTGTTGTCTGAAGGATTAATTATATTTTGTTGATACAACACTACGAGATATTAGGTAATAATTAATATCGACAAAATTGGATTACTTACAAAAAAAATGATTTTTGTGAGATAGTCCTAAATCATTATTTAGATATGAACATACAGATTTTCAGTATATTGAAACATTTTCGCGAACAGACAAACGAAATCTTTAGCTTTTTAATATTAACCCCACGCTTCGTCATTATACGATATATAATTTAGGTTTTAATATGCGTTATTACATAGCCCGCCCTAACGAATGTTCGGTAGGCCAACTGTTCGATATAAGTCGCGTAGATGGAATCTTTATATCAAAGGTCCTGCTAAACGTATTAAGTTATTAAACCCAACGGAGGTAGAAAACAACTTTTTGTGGCACACAAAGAGCATGCATCATAGGATTACGATTCTAATTTATATGTATTCTTTATACCGGGACGCGTATTGTTAATTCTACTTAACACGGTGAAAGATGCTTCCACTCGGTGGGGACTATTTTGACATTGGATCCTAATTATTTTAAAAGTTATATGGGATGGAATGTTCGAGTTAATCCGTCTTAGCAGCGAGGTAATATTTCGATTAGATTAAGTTATCTTATTTTTGATATAGTCTTTTTACTAACTATTGCTTGTTTTATTTGGTTACTTATAAGCAACTTATGGGCATGTATGGTATCAAATCCGCTATCAGTAACGAGAATACACGTACACAGTTTTTAGTGAAATTGTTGTTAATTCTATATATAACATTGATAGTAATAAAAACGTGGTTGGCGATATTACTATGATGTTTAAATTATAAATATCGGCTGCTTTTTATAATAGATGAGGACAGACGGTAATTCGTTACCCGGACGGAATTTCTATTTTCCTACCAATCATTTAATATCCAGATTTCCAGATGAACCAACATGTTTCAGAAAATGTAAACTGAATTGCAAATGTTAGACCCGATGGGGATCGAACCAATGACCCGTTGATTATTAGCCATGTATTGATGGCCTTACACCACGAGTCCGTAAATGCTCTTGCCTACCTCCAAACAAATAATACAAACCAATTAATTATAAGAAGTTTTACTAGAAAACAATATTTAAGGAAGTATCGAGAGAATTATTATTATTCGTAAATACAATAATAATGAGGACGAGACAGGAATTTTTATGTTTTAGTATGAAGTCACAGCCGACCTAACACAAAATACCTATTCACCGAAACGAAGCAATTTATAAAAAGCGGTTAATTCACGTGACATTTTGTGAACGATCGTAGAGCGATTTTCTTTAACGACCGATGTTTTAAAGGATATTGCTTTTAAACGATAAGGATCTGATGTTAGCCAGCTTTTTAATAAAATATAATATTATACAATGTCTGATTTCCTACTGATAGTGGCTAGATAGTGCGAAAACTTGTCGATAACTTGTTTTCGGGCTTTAATGAGTTCTGTGTCATCGGGTTTATAGGTGTCATTACACGTCTTTCGGCCTCCAAGACTTTTAAACATGATTCATCGTCGATAAAGTGAAATTGCGAAGGAAATTTCAGATTAGAGCCACCAACACACCGATAGCGTTTAAATAACTCCAGGCGAATTTCAATGACAGAACTGAATATTTTGACCGCTTTGTTGGTGTTGGTAGCAATGTAAGGATAGTAAACGGTTCGGAGTCTATTAACAACGGGCGCAACATTTTTCTAATCACATTATAATTTTACTGAAACGTGTTGGACTTCGTCGGGAAATCTGGATGTTAAATGGATGGTAGGAATATCTACATTGCGTCCGGGTCCAGATAAAAAACCCGAAATATTTAAACGTCCTTTCCGTTTAACCAAAGCCTAGTTTAGATGTAAGCCTTTGGTATTTCACCCACCATCAAGTAAACACCGTGCCTGTCTGTTCTCCTCTATCATAAAAATTTAATTTCTATCCAGAATATATCGAGTAGTGGGAGATTAGGAAGGGGGATCTGGGCACAATTGAATAATACCATTATTGAGGTTTCTCTCATAATAAAATACAAGAGTTACTCCAACCATGCTGATCGATGTACTGCCAGTACTACCACTACATTAGCGATTTTCACTTGTTAAAACATAGATAACATACATGTCTGGTCTAGCTAGACTGTATTGAGTCAGAGACTGCAAATTAATCCGCTAATTATGCTCGTGCGCATAAAAAACGGACATAATTATCTCGGATACGCCGAAACCGCGCAAAAGCGAACACTAAACTAAAAGTTGTTATACTTGTTCTCTGTTCCCTAATTACGTGTTACAAATGCTTAAAAATCGTACACGACTTTAAGGTCACAGCGACACCTGTTGTGTCAAACAGGGTTTTGTATTTTGTAATTATAATGAAATAGATTTAGTTCATTAGGCTTTCATTTGCATGTTTGATAAAGATCGTCGGGGTACAACGTGCGAACATTTTTATACGTTTTTTAACTGTCTATAATTACGTGTCTATTAGTGGGGGGTTTTGTTTAGTTTAGCTTTTATTCTTATGCTTATTCTTCTATACTTATAAAACACCTAATAAGTTTTAAATATTTGGAAATTCATTAACTTGTTATTGTATTTAAAGAATTACATACAGACTGTTTATATTACGTTTCGTAATCTGATTAGCAGAATAAGTAAAAACGAATAACTGTACTTAATGCAACTAGTTTTTATTACAAATTGTTTTTAAACTCCATCAATAAATGTAAAATTTATACTCGTATTTAATTTTAGACTTGCGGCCTATCTAAACTTGGTCATCGCTGATCTACAGCGTGGTCTACACAGATACCTACCGTATTAGCATAGAAAGGTGGCTGGTCAGCAGCCAGCGCCGGGAAGTACGCAGCCATGCCAGCTGCGGTGGCTGCATCAGGGTACGGCGCGCTGTACATAGACAGCGGCACTCCTGACGCTAGCCGCTGGTAATTGAGGAACTCGTACTGACAAGAGCAGACTGTCTGCCCAGTGATCGGGTCCTGGAAAATAGGGCGGCCGGTGTCGCAGCAGCGAGTCGCCGATGCTGCAGGGGAGGAGGGCCGCGCGGTGCCGCCCGCACCGCTCATCCCCGCCTGCGCCGGTGGTGGACTGTTGGAGGCTGTCGATATGGTGCTCTGTAAGTTGTAAATTTTGAAATGCCTTTATGGCTAATTTCCACATTCGCATTTGCACACAGTACACAAAAGTATCGGAGGCCTCCGCGCGCAGCAAACATTCGCTCTCGCCAGCGTTCGCGTGGTTATCCATCAGCCTTGACGCATATTAAAATTCGAACGCGAAAAAATGCACGCTATGATGGGTTATAGATGAGGATTTAACGATTGCAAGGGGCGCCCTAGGGGCGGAGCCGCCACCTCATCACGCCGCGGTACGCAAATCGGACACGCTCGGGAAACCCTTTCGGTGCATTGTGCGAAATTAGATTTAACGTCTTGACACTAATGCGACGCGATTGAAAAAGTCCCTATATGACTACGTACAATGGAATCGGACGCGCATTATGCCATAATGGAATTATCTACCTGAATCGATTGCACGGTCGCAGAATAAACAACGCCGTCCGGACAAAGCGATCTCCCCCGATCGAGCGGATCTATACGTGGATAAATAACTTTCTAAATATTTGTCGTTCGAATGAAAAATGGTCCTGCGACCTGAAAAACGCTGCTCAATGGGATTAGAAACCCAGAAATGCCACCCGCTCATGATACCCGTCAATTGTGTCCTTTCCTTGTTATTATAGGATATTTCCGGACGAAATCTATTATTGAAGGTATGCGATAAATCTTTCGTGTTGCGATAGCGTGGCATATTCGCGGCGTCGGGCGTACCGCGAATGCACGGTTTGGTGAACCTATCTAACCTTTTGCGTAACGTGGTTGCGATGTAAACTTAGCTGTCACGAGTCGGTCGAGAACAGCTTAGGTGGAGCCGCGGGCGCGGTAGGGCTTCCACCCCGCGCGCCATTTTATTTGAAAATTTCGACCTATCGCCGCGGCGACTGAAAACATTTATTGCGCCGAGGGTATTATCGAGGTAATCCCGAAGCCGTTAAATGTCGAATCCCTGAATTACGTACATTACATACCCGGCGTAGTTATTTAATCCTTGCTCGCACTTATACCGCAGGTTCGACGGTTGCGCGAATCGTTAAATCGACCTTAACGCAATGTAATAGGGGTTATATTGACGCGCTCGGGTTCGCCTGGTGAAATTGACGCCTGTGCTTAAATGGATTCGAATGGTTCAAACCGTACGAATGTCGAATGAAACAACGAAATGTATAACCGTGTAACATTGGAACGCAGCTACGCCATGAACCTAATATGTAATAAATAACACGAGGAACTAAGTAGTCTTGCAAAGCTACCTTACTGCTTAATGTCGGCTTTAATTGGACAAATTAATTAACCCTTTTGGCAAAGTGTGGCCGCGGTACACGGCTCGAATTACGCAAGAGTGAGACAAGAATAGAAAACATATGTGGGTTATACTAAGGTCTTATATAGTATTAGTAGTAAATAAATAATGAAGGGGATATGTTTGAAATCTCGTTTCTCTGAAGCGCATCGAGCCAATACATTTCTGATTCCTTTGTCATGTTTTTTTAGACTGAAACACATTATTGTTTACCCGCAATTCGAACCCTGAACGTCATGCTTAACGCAATGCTAGATAAATAGATACAAAATAAAACATTTATAACAGTTTAAATGCCAAACATATAAATTTGTTAACTTTAATTTAACTACGTCCCGACTTTATACTGTATATGTATTAATTTTATCGTTACAACATTTAATTTTATATTTCTTCTTCTTGAAGGTGTTACAATAATCAAATGCGATAACATTATATGTGATAGAGATTTTAAATGTATATTACTACTTTCTTTCACTCTGTATCCTTTAAAATCTTCACAAAAATGGTTGTTGTATCCGACTGTACCTGCTGAGTGCTTTAAGCTAGTGTGATACTTGAAAGCGTCACAATCATCATATGCGATGGCCTTGAGTTTCACACTTAAGAGTCGCTTCAGGAAATTGGCACTTAAGACACCATTTGTAGACACCATCAACCACTTGTCATTAATGTTTTTGCGATGTTATAGGGCTGTAAATATTTATAAGTAGCTGGCCCTACCATTTGTAACAGAAAAACGCCAGGTTAAAATAATGGCTGGGAAGAGCAAGAGTCACTAGGGACAGATGATATTAAGATGAGGCTAACACAGAAAGCTAGACTAATTGTAGTTTACCGTTAAGAATTAGATTCTTTATCAATCCGTATAGTAATAATAAAATGTACTTCTATATTACTAATAGCCAATATTTAATGACAAAATATAAACAATACTTAAAGAGTACAAAGCGACATTAAAAATATATTTTTGTGTAAGTTTTCAAGACGCTCATGTTACTTTTCTGTTTAGTATTAATTAAGTGTTAATTTATTTATTTAATTTTATTAATTAAGGACGAAAAGCAGCACAACAAGTAATGTTTACTAAGAACTTCTTATGGAGAAGGACAAGCAAAGGGTTCAGTTATGGAAAATGAAAAACCCCAGTTTCCAGTTTGTATAGTCTCATAGTATCGTCTAATAGGGATGTGCTGTCGACCCATTTTGACGCAACTGAAACACGATAAAGGTCTACGGCTTTTAATCTATGGACGGTAATTGGTAGACTTGGAAGTAATTTAATTGTACTGATCATTCATTGAATGTGCAATTTTCCAGATAGTAATGTATTTAAAAAAATATCGTTTAGACACATGTTGGTTTTGGGAATCGAAATTCACGAACGGTTTTAAGACCACTTGTCGATGTATAATTTAAATATCGAATAATTCATCTCTCAACACTATGCCGGTATACTTACAACGAATTAGTCAAACGGAAAACGACTAGATAAATATTAAAACTATAGGCGAGATTATTTATGAATACAATAAGTTGAATTTATCTCGAAGTAATATATCACAAGCGACTGGTTTATTTGTTTCTGAGTGGGTGTCTGTCGATGAGTGAACCGTTCGGCTTATCAAAAGTGAAGCATTAATAGTTGATGTGGCAAAACGGTCTGATAAAGGTTTGACTACGGCGATTGTGAATTGTATAGAACAAGTGAAAAACACTGATGTAGACGTAATCGAATACGAAAATTTAATTGCAATTAATAAATAGAAAAGAAATAAAGACAGCAAAGAGGTTGCATTAAAGCATTGTAGGTTTTATTGATTTCTTACTATAGTGATTTAAGAAAGAAGAAGAAAAAGAAATAAAAACGATATACATTGGAACGCATTTGAGAAAGTGTTTATAGTTGTACATTAAATTAAAATTCAAAATATAAACTGGTTATGACTAAAAAAAGAATTGTTAAATAATAATACAAAAACCTATTTCTATGATAGCAGCTACCGCGCATTCCATTTAGATTGGATCAACATTATCTCTGTTATTCAAACCGATAAGGTTTTATATAATTTCCGAAAAGATGTCCCAATTTTAAGTGTATCATATACCCATTGTTTCTAAGAATGGAACTATCGTTAAGAATTAGTTACGCACTAACAATAATGTGTATTTATTAGATTAAAAAACCGACAAAGCGAGTTGGACGCGCGCACGGTGGGTTCCTTACTAGCTTAACTTTATTTAGTTTCAATTTCATGTCTACTTTAAACATCTATTGATACATATAGAAAAAGAGACAGAAAGGGCAAAAACTAAACAATAAAATTAATTTTAAAAAATATTATATTCGGCGGCTACTGAACACTTATTTAACGGTATAAAACGGGAAAAGTGTTAGGTAACTTATTTACAATCCCGGATGTTTAAGTTGCTTTGCAACAGCTGTGATTGCGTGGGGACATCGCGTCCTTTAAGTTTACATTTCAACAATACATACAACACGTGTTTGATTTAAATATGTACTACTCGCATAAACTACAGACAATCTCTCATAATGTCAACTCTTAAGGTATAGACGTACATACAGACAGAAAACATATAGTAAGTAATGGGATTTCGTTTATACCCTCCGCTCGCGGAACCCTAAGAAAAACAAAAAACGTTGTCATCGCATCCTTTTCAAATATCGAACGGTTCACGATTAAAGTGCCGCACCATTTTATCTCTTGCAGACATCTTTTAAAAAACAAACACGAGGAGAATTCACTTTTTTTTTCACTCCTTTTTTTATCGTAACCCGCAGGATGTGTTTAGAGTCGTTAAGCCCTTTTAAGTGTTAAACCATGTAACAGAATATTCGTGCATACGGGACCCGATCTATTTGTTAAATGTAAAAAAAAAACTTTAATCTAAGAGAAATCGAATGACACGAATTTTGTTAAAGACATCAGGTAAGCAAAAAAAATGTCGACGCTGTGCACTGTAGTCGAGTAGCCCTGGGTGACGTTTCGACAGGTATCATCCGTTTTTTATTCGGACCTTCGGCACTATTACAGTATTAAATGTACACTTAGTCCGATCCCGCGTTAAGATAATTCGATACCCGCTAAATTGCTAGACAAAAAATCGTCCAACCCTATTTGTCAGGCCCGATCACTTATTCCTCAATGATTTTAATATCATTCAATACTTAGAGACGACGTATTTACAACGAAGAATTATTATTATTATTATTTTCTATTGGGGACAACGATTTAAGATCAGCCCTCAAACTATTTATCATTTCACTCATATCCTTATATCCATCTCCATCTCATGAATCTCTCTGTGTTCAAACGTATCTGTGCCTTTACAAACTCTTATTATCTTTTCAATCTTTAAATCTTTGGTTACAGCTTCTCTAGTACAAGTATATACAACATTCAATGATTAGTTGATTACTTGTTCCCCACTTCTTATTGCACCCAATGCTCGTGCTTACCTGCCAAGATGATTTTCGAAGACAAACCCTGTGTCACCTGAAGCTTCTAATGGTTTAAATTAAATTGTAGACAAGTGTTAACTGTTATTGAAGTGTGTAGCATGTTTTATCGTGGTAACGTTTTTGCGATACTAATTAATAATTAGATGCAATATCTCTATGTGAATCAACGTGTAGACAACGGTATAAGAAAACACAATAAAATGATAAATT